TTTATTTATTTATTTATTTATTTATTTATTCATTTATTTATTTATTTATTTATTTATTTATTTATTTATTCATTTATTTGTATTATTTCTCTATTTCTATTTCCATTTGCTTCTATTTTCTTGTTATCTCTCTTTGCTGCTGCTCGTTTCACCTGCACGTCCGCCGTTGCCTTTTGTGGCACTTGCATTGCGCCACTGCTGCTGCTGCTGCTGCTGCTGCTGCTGCTGCTGCAGTTGTTGCGGGCCTGTGAGGAAGGATTCGCACTAGTCGAGGGCCAACCGGATTCTGCTGCTGCTGCTGCTCTCCGCAGCCTCAGCACGTACCTCTTGAGGTGTACAGACACCCCAAGTGCCCAGGAGACGCAGCAACAGCAGTAGCAGCAGCAGCAGCAGCAACAGCAGCAGCAACAGCAGCAGCAGCGCGCTCGAGACGCCGACACCACAGCTAGAAGACGCGCTGCCAAGCCCAGCTATTCAGGGCCGCTGGCGCTAGCCAGCGACAGCTAGCTCCAGCTAACTGCAGCAGCTAGCTGCAGCTAGCTGCTAGCTGCAGCTAGCTGCTGCTGCAGTAAGCTGCAGCTAGCTGCTCATCTAGCCAGAAAAGAGTAGTTAAGATTTTCACACAGCGAAAGCGAATGCATCGAAAGGAGCAGCAAGTGGCACAGCAGCAGCAGCAGCGTTCACTGCTCGTCGAGCTGCAGCTGCAGCAGCTGCAGCTGCAGCAGCAGCAGCTGCCGCTGCTACCTTAAAAGCGCTAGCAGTAACGTGGGAGAGTTCCCCGCTATCGGCTTGGGGCCGCCCACGCGCATTGCTGCTGCTGCTGCTGCTGCTGCTGCTGCTGCTCGTTGCTGTCCAATGTCTTTTATTGGGCGCAAGCAGCAGCAAACTCAGTTTGCTGCTGCAGTTTCAAACAGGGGCTGTCTGTGGCCCCCGCTGCAGCAAAAGCTCCAGCAGCAGCAGCAACTATAGTTGCACAGGCTGCTACTGCAACAGCAGCAGCTGCAGTTGCAGCAACTGTAGTTGCAGCAGCTGCTGCTGCAGCATCTGAAGTTGCAGCAGCTACAGCTGCAGCAGCTGCTGCTATAACAGCTGCAGCGGCCAGCGCAGCATTCAGTGCTGCTGCAAGGTTCTGCTGCTGCTGAGCATCTCGACAATCTTTTGCTTCCGGCCTTTGCTGCTGCTTGCTGCTGCGCTGCAGCTGCAGCTGCAGCAGCAGCTGCGGACAGCCCTTAGCCCCGCCGCTGCAGTGCTGCTGTCTATACACCTGAACGCGGCCTCTGCGCCCGCAGCAGCAGCAGCACAAACCCTCGCAGGGTTTACAGCGGCGGCCTAGGGTTTGCGCCAGCTAGGGTTTAGGGTTTTGATTTTGTCGCTGAGACGCGGAACTACGCAGCTAAGCGATTAGGGTTTACAACGGCTAAGGGTTTAGGGTTTAGGGAGGGCTGAGGGTTTAGGGTTTAGGAAATGTTAAGGGTTTAGGGTTTGGGGAGGCCAACGTGGCTTAGGTTTTTGGAAAAGTTAAGGGTTTAGGGTTTAGGCAAATGCAGATGTGAGCTGGGGGGAGGAGGGAGCTCGAGGGTTTAGGGTTTAGGGA